AGGAGCCAAGAATATGTAATGAGGAAAGAATAGTCTCTTCAATAAATGGTGTTGGGAGAACTGGACAGCCACAGGCAAACGAATGAAAGTAGATCATTATCATTCACAAAAATTAACTCAAAATAGATTAAAGACTTGAATGTAAGACCTGAAACCATAAAAATTTTAGAAGAAAACATAGGCAGTACACTCTTCTACATCAGTCTTAGCAGCATATTTTAAAGTACCATGTCTGACCGGGCAAGGGAAACAATAGAAAAAAACAAGCAAATGGGATTACATCAAACTAAAAAGCTTCTGCACAGCAAAGGAAACCATCAACAAAATGAAAAGACAAGCTAACAATTGGGAGAAGATATTTGCAAACCATATATTAGATAAGGGGTTAATATCCAAAATAGGTAAAGAACTCATACATCTCAACAAACAAAAAACTAACAACCCAATTAAAAAATGGGCAAAAGATCTCAACAGACATTTCTCCAAAGAACATATACAGACAGCAACAGGTACATGAAAAGATGTTCAAAATCACTAACTGTCAGGGAAATGCAAATCAAAACTACAGTGAGATATCACCTCACGCCGTCAGAATGGCTGTAATTAACAAGACAGGAAACAACAAGTGTTGGAGAGGATGTGGAGAGAAGGGAACACTTGTACACTGCTGGTGGGAGTGCAAACTGACACAGCCACTGTGGAAAACAGTATGGAGATTCTTCAAAAAGTTAAGAATAGGACTACCATATGATCCAGCTATTCCACTACTGGGTATTTATCCAAAGAACATGAAAACATAAATGTATACAGACATATGCACCCCTATGTTCATTAGAGCATTATTCACAATAGCCAAGACTTGGAAGCAACCCAGGTGCCCATCAAGGGATGAATGGATAAACAAGATGTGGTGCATATATGCACAATGGAATACTACTCAGCCACAAGAAATGATGAAATCCGGCCATTTGTGACGACATGGATGGACCTTGAGGGTATTATGCTAAGTGAAATAAGTCAGAGGGAGAAAGTCAAATACCATATGATCTCACTCATAAGTAGAAAATAAAATCAATGACAAATAAACACATAGAGACAGAGAATGGATTGGTGGTTATCAGAGGGGTTGGGGGGGGCGAAAGTGGTGATTAGGCACGTGTGTGTGGTGATGGATGGTAATCAGTCTTTGACTGGGGAACACGATGTAGTCTACACAGAAATCAAAATATAATGATGTACACCTGAAATTTATATAATGTTATAAACCACTGTTACCACAATAAAAAATAAATAATTTTTGAAAATTCTAATCTCTCATCCTCACTACCATCCCCATACTCGTTATGTCCAGTCTGCTTTTTTTCTTAACACTTACCACCATCTGTAATTCTATATGCTTTAAACATTTACCATGTTTATTGTCTCTGTGAACCCCCCACACACTCACCGGCCAGAATTTAAACTCTTTGTGGGGAGGTGTCCGACTAATTTGTTTACTGCTGAATCTCCCATGCCTGGTACATAACAAATGCTGAATATATCAGTTGTTGAATAAACGAATTCCTGCAATTCTAGAGGTAATATTTCACACTTGGAATCATTTGGGAAGGAGAATCGTGCATTTCCAAGATGGAGAAAAGAGCTTCAATCACCATATATCTATCAATCACCCAATTATTTCAGTCAACGGGATTTTCTTCCATGTCATCCCAGTTTAGAGCCTGCAAACAGGAGAGAACCAGAGGGTGTGGTCACCAGAAAGTATCTTGCCTAGTTAATGAGGAAGGACAAACTGATCAGCCACTAATTCCTCTTAGGAATTTGGAAAGTAAAGAATCACCCAATGGATGGCAGTCGATGTGAAACATAGTGGAGAACGTACATGTTAGGCTCTTTCTTAAAGATTAGGCATATGGAAAAAAGCTGTGGAAGAGCAAGATATTCCCAGTGAAGAGTGAAAGCGTGAGTGAAAGCTAAGTCGGGAACCTAATTACAAAAGAGAGAAACACCCAGCCATAACAGAGAATGTGTTATAAGAAGTAATGGGAAATATATTTGGATGGTTGGGAGGTACTATCTAGATTATTGAGTGTCTAGTGGCAAGACTAAGATAGGAGGCATAACAAGGTGTTCTTTGTGTTTTCAACAAGAAAAGCATCATAATGAAAGTTGGGTTTGACAGGTTAGATTGGAAAAGGGCAGAAACTAGAATCAGGAGAGCTGAGGAGGAGGCGGTTGCAATAATCAGGACTGAAGTTACCAAGGAATAAGTTAAGGGAGTAAGTGGAAACTTTGTGTTAAGGAGACACATTAAAAATTATCTTAAAGAAAAGAGGATTTGGGACAGGAAGGGTCTCTTGGGAAATAATTATGACTCATCTTCTTTGTCATTTAGGATTGTGATATCTTTTATTTCCAATAATTATTCTATATAATCATATCCTAATCTGTAAAAAAATTATGTAGAATAAGTAAGGGTAGAAATCAACTCCAATGAATAAAAATACGTATTTGTATTACCTCAAGACATAAGAGCTGTTCAGTACTGGCATCGTAAACTTATTGCACCATCCGACTGTACGTGAAACAGCGTGTTGTGCCCTATTCCCCAAGATCAAAAGACTGGCCTCAGGAAGTCTCCGGAGACAGGAGCTCTCTGGAGGAAACACCACGCACAGAGCTCCCACAAGTGCACACTGGAGCACCATTAGTAAAGGAAGGATGATTTGCCTCAAACTTCATGGGAATATGCAAGGATAAAGGTCATTGCTAAGGCAGCCAGGACTCAAACCCCCCAGGGACCCCATGCCTGAAGTCAACACCTCGTGCAAGATATGGAAACAAAATAAAGACCAGTACAGTTGGCAGCCATACAGATGACAGTTTCCAGAAGGAGCTGAGCCACTGAAGTCAGCCACGTGTCACATTCTCAGGGGAAATCCACCTTGATGACTGCAGAAGCCCAGGTAATACTGGCAAAAGGGACGCCTCCAAAAACGTAGGTTGAAATCTCAACATTAAAAGCAGGTGGGAAACAATTGCATGTCATCTCAAGCTAGATGTTGAATTATAACTGTAAAATGTCATTACTCAAACTTTTTAAAGGCCATTGGCCCCTTCTGACGATTCCACAGAGACCCTGACAAAGATTAGCAAGAGGAAGAATTATTCACACCATGCCATCTGGTGGCATTTCAGTGACCTTTACGGCTCGCTCTGGAGCAAGGTTTAACAAAAGAAGGGAGTGTGCTGTGTTATTTTTAAGGCTGAGAAAACAAAAGTGTAACTGTTGGGCTAACAGTTGTAATTACATATATCAACACTATTTCAGACTAAAACTGGGCTTTTTCATTGAATTTTTTAAGTCACTCTAAAATTTCTAGGGTGTTGAGATAGACCCACTATGACAATGAACCTTGGAAAGAAACCCTATTTATATTATCACCTCAGCAGGACACAAGAAAAAAGACTAGGTCTCTATCAATTTATTAACAAGAAATAATTTTTCAATACTTCCTATGGCCAGCCCTGTCCCAAATACTGTGGAAGACATCCAAGCTAATAATACATTGTCTCCATGCCAGTGAAATTTACTATTTCATTTTCTGCACTTTCTTAGGTCCAAAAAGCTATAATCCTAAGTGAGGCAACATGGAGCTGTGTTAATAACCACAGCTCATTAGTGACTCTGTGTCCCAGGGACCCAGGGGAGAGGGCTCTCCCCAGCTGGCCTCCCCTAAATACAGACACACCTTGAATTTTATGTCAAGACTATTTTAGTCGCTGATGAAAAAGTCACTAATCTCACAAAGCTGATGACAAAACATTCTGGGTTACACAGAAAAGTGGAAGCTCATCATTCTATGCAGGGCAGAAAATGCACCCTTCTACTCCTGAAAGAGCTGGTCAGTTTTAGTCAGTCACCTGACTTAGGAAGTCTAAGGGAAACACACACCCTTTCAAATCCACGGTATGTCCCCACCCAAAAGCTATGGGGTACATTTACTTGAATGGGAATTATACCAAAGTATCTTGTCAATTCATAATTGCTATGGGACATACAAGAATCTTGTGTATTCGGGGTACTGTGTATATTCAATTTTGATATGAAAACAATAGGCAAACAGAGATTTATTTTAATGTTTGTGTTCTTTTGTGTTTTGGGGTGAGTGTAAATAAACCAGGCAGTGCAAATCTTGTTCCTTTGGGCAGGCCCTTTGCATTGTAAAAGCAATACCACGTGATTTGCATGAACCTTGCATGTCGACCTTTCCACGTCTTATACTGTCATAGCACGGCTTTGGAGGGTTGAAATCCAGAAAGTTTTGACAATGCTTACATATCTACAGCCTCATATTTTATGTGCAAAAGTAAACAAAGCAGGAATATGTATTTAATTTGGCAGCCTATTTCCTTGCTGTATGAATATGCAAAACCCCACCTGTTCAGACTTTGCACACAATCCCACAAGAACAGCACTGAAGTGTTGAAGGACTGAGTGTATGCCAGCATTTCCTGGTCAGGCACATTCACAAATCCCAAAATTCGTGTTGAAAGATTTGCTTGAAGCCACAGGTAGCCAACTCTGTTTATAAGGAAAATATTGATCGACCAACTCACAAGTGTTTTATGCTTCATATAAACAATAGATGTACAACATAATCTCTGTCCCCAAGCTGGCAGATCTTCAAGAAATCAAGATATCTGTGGAGGCAGCTGAAAGGCATGAAACACATTTAGATGCATTTACTCTTCGTACTTTTCAGGAAGAACCAAATTACCTACTGTTTCAAAGAAGATTGCTTTTTATTCCCTTGGCACCAAATCAATAAAAGTCCTTCCAGCACAGCAGCTGTTGCTTAATGGCCCCAAAGAGTTAATGCATTGTCTCAGGTCAACACAGTGCAGTGTCTACACTGAGTGGGCCATCAGTTAATGTTGATGGATTCACTTTCTCACAAGCAGTAAAAGCTCAATTTATAGAGATGGATCCTCTGAGACTAAAATCAATAATTTAAGAGCCTAGTGTGTTGAATTCTATGTTTGTGGCAATACCGTATGCATAAATATAAGAACTACATTCATGTTTCCATTTTTTAAAAAAAGACGTTTTCTAGTTAACTGACAGATAATAGGAGATTCTCAATAATTTTGAGTCATAATCTAAGCATAGCGAGGCTATGCATTTGGATGATTCATTATAAATATTCTGATAGTGACATTGGAGTGATTATGAAGAATTTGGAGACTCAAATATCTGAAGGTAACATGCAAACTTGTTGATTAGTAATCATAACTTTAAATCACAGTAATAGAGATTGACTACCAGTGAGAAACATTCCATTTGAGCTGTTCATTGTAGACGATCTTTGGTGTATAGATTGTGACAAGTTTCTACGGTTTTGCATGCTATTCTTTAAGGAAGAAGAGCAGGTTTTGGAAGATGTGTCTAAAGGGGCCATCTAATTTGAAAGCAAGATGAGTTTCCTCTTTAGCTTCCAACCATACAACCGTAGGGTGGTGTGGTTTACCCTTTGATCAGGTGACAGCTCAGAAAGCATCCCCTTAGTCAAAGCAGCATCTTAGCGAGGGAGGGAGTAGGGTGTTGGTACTTCAGCAGAGCATTGCTCCTGCATCCCACGTCCAAACCAGAGCTGTGCTCCACGTTTGAAAAACTCTGAGCAAATAAACTGACGGGTATCTGACACACAAGATGGGGAGCGGAATTAGTTCCGAGAGCAAGGAGTCCGCCAAAAGATCAAAAGAACTGGAGAAGAAGCTTCAGGAAGATGCGGAGCGAGATGCAAGAACTGTCAAGTTGCTGTTATTAGGTAACATTTATTCCCCCACTACTTTCAAAAGACTGATTTTTTTTTCGGTCGTGGTATATTTACTTTTCTCAACCTTTAATTTCAAGTGGAATACCATGCGAGAGATTTATTGTAAAAATGTGTTTGGAAACTTAAATAGACTTTATGTGCGCTCTATAAATACTCACCAATATCTTTTTTGTTTAGTATTTTATTATGTGTTTTTTGGTTAAACAGAGAGACAGATATTTATTAGACGATTCAATTTCTCTGTCAATAATACGAGTTACTATTATTAAAAGAAAAGTCATATACATTTCTTATTTTATTGCATCCTAATCATTTCCTGAATGTGGCTTTTTAGTACTGAAAACAATCCTTGAATTACAAGTTATAAAGATTTGTGTTATTTTGTTTGAACAGAAATATGTTGAGCTGTTTGATATCAAAGTTAATGTTAGTTAATTACTTGTGCTGTTAAAATTAATTAGTCTCAACTTATTTAGAGAGTAATGATAAGGTACTTTAAATTATATTAACAATATTATTCAGGCTTCTGAAGACTGCCTGTAATATTGTCTGAATACTTGAAAAATACTTCACTTAAATCCCTTTAGGCTATTTGTATTCATTCTGGTCAAGAACTATGTCTCTGCTCTCTTTTCATTCCCGCAAAACTCAGCACAATGTTCTACCAAGACTATAAATTCAATAAATATTCAATGAATTGAAAATAATCTATATATCACACATTTTTCTAAACATAAACAATTTAACATGTAGTGGTCTCTGGAAGATAAATATGTTTTTGAAATAAAAACCTATAAAAAGAAAACAAAACAAAAACTTTAATGGCAGTTGTGTGTTCCTCCTGCTCTTAGTAATACACAAAAGGACTTCATTTTATTTCAGAATCTTCCACGCAACAAAATGCCCTCATTTTTTTTTTTTTTTTGATGAGGAAGATTGTTGCTGAGCTAACATCCATGCCAACCTTCCTCTATTTTGTATGTGGGTCGCCACCACAGCATGGCTTGATGAGCGGTATGTGGGTCTCTGCCCAGGATCCGAGCCTGTGAACCCTGGACCTCCAAAGCAGAGCGCACGAACTTAACCACTATGCCACTGGGTTGGCCCTGTCCTCATTTTCTTAAGTGCCCCTTTACTGTGCCTAATTTGCTCCCAGAGGCAAGTGTGTCTCAGAAACCAGCTGTGGGATTCCCAGCACCTGCTCCTCAAAGGGAAGGAGATGCGCTTTCCCTCTGCGCACAGGCTCTGTGGCGCACACCTGCCCACAGCACAGGCAAGTACCCACCTGGACAGAGGCAGGTGACTCAGAAAGACGTGGGCCAGCTGTTATGAAACCAGCAAACACTCTTTCCCCAACACTCTAGAGCATTCTCTGAGGCTTTGATCAAGAGCGAAAGTAATGTGGACATAGAAAAAGCAAATAAAAGGCAAGAAGGAAGGCCAAACACTCCTATAAATGCATTCTCTGTCCCTCTTGTGCTAAAAACAACCGTACAGGAGAACAAAAAAGCACATTAAAAATCCCATGTTTGAATAAAATTCCAAAAGAATAGACATATTTTCAATACACTAATTATTTTTAGGTTAAAGTGGTGGGTTAGATCAAGAAGAAAGCGTTACTTTTTGTACCAGAGATATAAAACAATCATTCGTGGCACTGTTACGTCTTCTACTTTCCAAGACAATCACAATTACACAAATTCAGTCCCCAAGTTACCATATCATACGCTTGGATTTATTTGGTTCCAACAATATATGCACCTAACTTCTCAGTCACATCGTATTTATACAAAATAAATCAAATTCTCTTAAGCTCTTCCTATCTCAATTATGTTCCAAACACTTGCGTAAGGCTTCCCTTCTGGACGCTGAGCTCTGTGCTTGATGACCCGATCGTCGAGTTTAAATCAGCAAAGTCTTGTAACAACTCTGCTTTGATTCTCGTCTTTGAATTGAACTCCAGTTCTCTAAACTGTAATTTTTATATTCAACTTGGCCTCATTAAGACATAAAAGTATTCACTGGACCTAAACTAAACCTCCCCATCCAATGAAGAAATTGATTTGATTTCTCTTATCTTTGAAACAATGATTCTCATTCATTAGTGTGGTCTGAACAAGAGTTTGTATCAACAAGCATGTGTCATGTTAAACCCTAGCAATGATCAGACCCTGAGTCTAATTCTATTTTTATAAAAGTTAGAAATCAAAAAAACATTTGTGGCAGAATTCACTCTTTATGCTTATCCTCTTATTATCTGACGGATTTCTAGGTGCTAAACATAACACGACTTTCCAAATTTCACGTGTACTGTAAGTAGATGGACCATTTGGTATCATTGGACACAAGATTTCACCGAATATGAAGAGCTGATGAAGTGCTACTTTGCAGAAAAAGGATCACCTTGCAGACATGGTCCTCCTTTTTATGGCTTTCAGACATTTAGTAAAATCACAGAAGAGATGCTCAATCTTTTTCTTTAGCAAAAAGCTGGCTTCTAAGAAATGTTGGCGATGGCTCACGTACTCCTGGGACATTTGATAACTGCCATCAAGACAATAATGTCACGTGCTTTAAAAAAAAAATACCCCGTAAAGATGCCGTGGAAAGAGTACATTTAATAAGAAAAACAAATTCTAATGAATAAGATGTTCTTTTGCAGACTTCCTAAGTTAGTTTTTTGACGTCTTAAGTTACAAATGTTTGGATAAACTTTCATTCTATTCAAAAGAAACGCCTGCCATCAAATTGTGGGATCAGTATGATAGTGTTTCCATGTTTCCCACATCTCCTCTTTTTATATTTATTTCAAATTTCAGTTTGAATTTATTTATCTTACCACATTACTTTCTTTTTTTATCTTTGACAAATTTCTATCACCTAAGCTGGCTCGGTTCAAAGCTTTACGGGAGGCATAGGGAAGAACTTAGCTTTGTTTGTTCTTCGTGTTGGAAACATTGCCACTCGCTCCACAGCTCTCAGGGACGATGTTGTAATCAGCTGCCGCCGGTGGTTTCCAGCCATGTCACAGATTGTTAGTCGTCGGTGCTCTTTTCCTTTAGTTCTGAAATTTTTATTCTTTATTTTTCTGTGTGCTATATTGTAAACATCACACTGTTATTTTTTTAATGGTGCCATCTGAGTTTCATTGTCTTAAAGTATTATTCTAATCATCTGACTCTTAAAAAGATGAACTTGGATGGAGCCTAAAGATAAAAGAATATCTACTTTAAATGTTTTTATTTTTATTTACTCAGCTAATCATCATTTTCAGATGTCGTAAATGGTCCCACTTACTCAACAAATGGATTTTTGAAGATGTGTCTTTTTCTACTATGACAGTAGGAGAATTATAATGATTCTGACACTATCTAAAAGCTTGTTACAAAATAACCGGTAAAATAAAACTTGCACAGAATTAGCTAAATAGGTTTATCCACCTGGCAGACTGGGGAGAAGACAATTTAATAGTCGTGGAGTAGAATGTGTTTTTAAGCCCTTTGAGGTAAAAATTAGTTTGCTAATACTTTCAACAAATGTTATGCTTTTTTCACTTCTCTGAGTGAAACGAGAGATGAGAAGAGTAACCACAAAAAGATTGAGTACCAAATGATGGGGCTAGCCATGTGGCCTCAGAGAAACCACGGGTGTCAGAGTGTTGTGTGAGCTGTAAAAATCCAGATGGATGTGGTTTATTCTCGTTGTGTAATAGATTCCTAAATCTGAAATAAATCAAAAGTCAATAAGGTATACAATTTTTCTTCCTTTTATGTACACCTAAGAGAAAAGAGGACATAAGACTGAGGTTAAATCAAAGTTCTTATTTTTATTCTGTTTTTAAAAAATAGGTCTTTATTTTTTAGTTTTAGAAAGAATCTCTAGATATGAGTAGAAGAGAATGCAGAGAACTGGAGATGGCCCTGATTCGCTGCCTAGATTATAAATTCATCAAGTGTAAGAAATTCTATTTTGAATTTCCATTACACCAATAGAGTCAGAGCTTATCTATGGATGTGATCAGATAAACAGATCCCCCGGAATAACTACATTAAGATTAACCAATACATTGCTTTCTGATCAACTAGTGATAGAAGAATCTTGTGGAAAACATGTAGGACATATTCCTAAGCAATGTTTCCAATTTTTTATTTTGCTTTATTCATCCAAACTAAAGCCTTTCTTTCCTTCTTCTAATAATAACACATTTTTGTTTTAAAATATTATAAAATAATTTATTTTATTTTCTGTTTGTAAAAATATCCCGTCTTGGGGAGACATGAATACATTTAATACAAATGTTTAAAATTGCTTTTCAGTAAAGTGGAGAGAAAACAGGCAAAAAGTTCTTCCTGGAGAGTTTCAAATTGTCTGCAAAGTGCAATGGACTGTTTGCGCTGTAACAATTTAACAGTTCCAGAGACAAAGACAGATATTTATAATGGCCCATTTATTTATAAAGAATGTCAGAGGGCAGCATCCAATAGCTTTGCTGTTTAGTACTTTTAACACGTCTTTCTAAAGTCCCTTTTTTCCAACAGGCAAAAGCGTGTACACAAATGCTTTCCATGTGTTTGGTTGTCTTATCTCAAATAATCAGCGCATCTTAAAAATAGACTCCAAGTCTCTTATGTGAAAGATGCAAACCGTTTATTGAGGTACATTCCCTAGTCTGCCAGATGATGTTACTTGTTATAATGAGATTAAAGTTCCTGTCTTGCTGAGGTGACTCTTGTCAACCGTAATTTAACAGAACCTCTCTAGTAATATCACAGAATATTTTAATATTCACTTTTTCATTCATACCCTGAATTATCAATTCAGGAACAGTACTGCACCTTTAAAGACATTTATATAAGCAACGTGAGCAGTTAATACAAAGCTGTTTGCCCCTCGGTGCTGTTAGAAAGGAAGAGGGCGGTGAAACATTGGATAGTGTAGACTCCATGATGTTTCATATAAAATGTAGCTCCAATTAAGATTTTAGGCTCCGA